CACAATACAGAATTTGCACAGAATCTGGGTCATCTGAAGAAGTGTGTTGTGCCCACGAAAGCTCATTATACCATCTACATGTTTTGTTAGTGTTTAAGGTGCTACTAGATGGTTGTTTAAGTTTTTCCACAGAATTAATGTTCCCCATGAGAATTTTTTTTCCCTCTTTGCCCCCAGCAGCCTGCCTGCTTTAAGCCCTGGGTGGCTGGAGCTCCCACTGTCAATGGGAGCCCCAGTTACCTGGAGCTTTCAGTGGGAGCATGATTATATTGTGTTATTTGAATTTTAATTTTTTTTTTGGTGCAGAATTCCTCCAAGAGCAGAGAATGCAGGCTAAATCACTCAAATAATGATAGTTGGGATTAATCACCATACCAGCCACCTGATCCAGATGTTAACCAAAACCAACACTGGACTGCAGCTGACATGCTTGTACAAGTGACTTGCACAAAAGGAAACTATTGGCAACATAAGAGAGTTACCAGTATCAGAGATTTTGTTGTTAAAGAATCTCTGCTTTTGAGGCAATGGGCTGTGCTGTTCCAAGTGATCCAGTATAAAATGTTTTATGCATAGACAAGCCCTCAAAGTAGGAAGTAGTGACCAAATTCTCCTCTGTCTGCTCCAAAAATAGAGCTCCTGACCATTTGAATTCCTGGAAGGGAGAAATCAGTTAGCTGTATGGGCCAGACAGCATGCACCTGAGCAGTCTGACACTCTATCCAGTAGTAGGAACTATATGTAAATTACTCATCAGCACACTGCAAGATCAAAGGACAAAACAAAGGGAAATATTGAATTTCAACAGAAACTTATCACATAATATATCAGGTGTTTCCCCTTCCTTCTTTAAACCTATTCATGCTTTTAAAATATCAGAAGTATGGCTGTAGGAAACTCCATTGCTGGCTTAAAAATGTTTTAGATGGCACAAAATGTAAATGTTACCTCAAAATAATAAACTGAGCAATCCCCTCAATCAGCACCTTTCCCCAATATCACAGAGTTCATCAATAATTAGACTACATTCTCATGAAAAATTGATGATGCTGATGCTGTAACTCACTTGTCAGGACTCTCCAGATCCAAACTGAGTGAATTGTTGAAAAAACTCTTAGGAGTTATAATAGCCATAATTCTTCTGTTAGAAAAGATATATCATTTAGTCACACTTGAGAAATGCTTATTTGTCACCAGAGGAGAGATGAGCTGTGACAATGCGCCCAGCTATGTTTGACTTGCAATTTCTACTCCTACCACTAAGTCATGGCAGCCAACAAGACAGCTGTGGCAGACCAACACTTTGCCATCTCCTTCCAGCCTTTCACTGCTGGTTCCCAGGACTCTATAGATAGGATTACCAGGATTGCCAGGTGTCCGGTATTTTCACCTCCTGTCTGGTAAAAAACAGAAAATACTGGACACTAAAATGTCCGGTATTTTCTGATTTTTTTCCCTGCCAGGAGGTAAAAACACTGGACACCTGGCAACCCTACACACACTCAGCAACCGGGCCCTTGGACCCTCCTCCCCCGGGCTCCCAGATCCCATGCTTAGCTTGTTCTGCAGGGGAGCTACCTTCTGGCTCTGATTAGGAAAACAAGAGAAACAAGGGGCCATGCTGTTTTTTATTTTATTTTATTTGTTTTGCTTAATAACTCTCAGGGTCCCCCCTTTTTTTTTTTTTTTTTTTTTTGCGCTCAACAACTTTGGTCTCCCCCCCCTTTTTTTCCTCAACACAATTTTTTCCACGGTGTTTTTTTGGGGGGGAGGGAGGTGTTCAGTATTTTTGGTTAAACCATCTGGCAATCCTATCTATAGATCCCTCTGCTGAAATTAAGTGCTACTCTGTCCTTTCTAGGGCATGTCAGGACTCTCATTCCAGAAATGAACAAACTTGAGACCGAAATAAGATAAATAAGTATAATGAGACAGAGCTAAAATGGGGCTGCAAAGGTCCAAAAAAGAAATTTGAAACTCATGGTGGCTCCTGCAGAAAACAAAACAAGTGCAGACTAGGAAACTAGATAAAAGGAGAGGACAATGCATTACACTTGATTTTGTTGGTAAGGTTCTACCCAAATACTTTCAGATACAGACACAGGACAATTTTCTAAGCACTGAGAGCCGCTACAGAATCCCAGTTAAGGGCAGCTCACAGAAAGATTCAGAGAAGGCTTTTGGCACTTGGATTGTTTCAAAGATATAGAAATTATATTAAGAGCAGCAGAAACTATAAAACTTTAGACAGAAAATAACATTTTCTTATTCTCTAGAGTTGGGTCCAGCCACCTATATCAGGGAAAGGGAAATATCTGTAATTACAAAGCAATGTAGTGGAGGGGGAAAATGTATTGCATCATTTCTCAATATACTATCAGTGTTCCATAATAGTAAATCTTACTCATCTGAGGACAAAACATTAATGATTAACTTATCAGTTCAAATTAAAAAAAATGAGCTAAGATTTGGATTCATCTTTACATTGAGTTTGTATTTTCATAAGCTTGTTTAGTGTTTCTTGTTTTTCTTTAGGGGAAAATAAGCCAAAAGCAGAAATTATTTAATGAATGGATCCATCTCTGGTGCTCCTATTACATTGAACTGTTTAGACCAAAAGGAAAATGAGGATTTGTTCAGATGATAGTACAGATTGAATGTAATTCCTTGCACAAGAATGATCAGGTGACTGTCTGATTACTATTTTTTCATCATATGATTATTCATGAGAGAGATAAAACATTCTCCACAGATAAAAAATAATATGGTGGCTGTGTCAGCTCTAATGGAGAGCACTGATAATGTCTGTCTATGAATTCTGTGGGCATTCAATTTACTTAATAGTTTATCACCAAAACACTGGCTGATTATAAACATTAGACTGGGTATTTCAGTCATAAGCAAACACTTAGTTTTGTTTTTGATATATGTATTGCATTCAACAAGACTGACCTTTTCTGTTATCTTAGCTACTGCTTTCTCCCTCCCTTCACCAACAGATGATATTGAAATAACTCCTTTTTTATGCATATTTCACTGAGTGGATACTTAATTTAATACGTTCAGGCTATATTTTACTGGCAACCAAATTTTAAACTACAATTTTGTCAAAAAACTACTTTCTGTAGATCAGCACCTTCACATGATATTGTCTCTTCCCTCTTCTCCCCATATATTTTTATATTTTTTTTTATGCATGAAAATAAGAAAGCTATATCGGTGGTCAGAGTAATAACTATTAAAGTCAATGGGTCATTTCAGAAAAAAGTAAGTGAAATAAAATAGGAACCTTTAGGGCAACACTATTACAACTGCTTTTAAAATAGCATGTCTCTCTCTCTGAGTCCAACTTGAAGTACTGCATAATGCAATTTTCCATTACTGAAAAATAAAGCAATGACAGAGTTTACATATAGCTGACATTAGAATAAATAATTCATTTATAGCTGTGGCATAGTACAAAATCTACTAAGTTTTAGGAAATAAATTCTAATTTCTTTCTTTTGCTTGTAATTTGAGCATTCTATATTAATGATTACCATACGGCACCTTTTAGAGCATGTGGTAGAAAGCGTTGGCCAGAAGGAGAATGTGTAGACCATAGAGGTTTATAATGTCTTATGTAGTGTGCTTAATACGTAGTATGAGAATAAATGTTAAACAACTATAACTCTGCCAGCCACCCTTCTCTGGTTAGCAGGGAAAAACAGACTTTGAGGCCTTATACATTAGGCAAACTGCTTGAGTTCATATCTGATGTCCTAAGACAGAGAGCGATCAGAAGGATCCTTGTGATTCAGCATGATCACACTGTTGATCTTAGTAGTAGTTAGAGCATACCTTGTGTTATAAAGAAATTATGATGAATGAATGATAAATTATGATGAACGAATGAAAAGTTTGTACTAACAGAAGCTTTGTATTGAAATAATTAATACCTTTTGTATGGGCAATTGTATCCCTTTTCCCATACAAGATCAGAGTATCAGTCTGGACTGAGAGAAGCCTTGCTCCTCTCCCTCACATTTAACTAGCCTGGTCAGTGAGTTAATGTGAGTAACAGATTGGTAACTTTAAGCAAAAGCAAGATGGGATTTGTTTGTGTCTTTGTGTGTGTGGATGTGTGTGAATATGTATATAACAGAGTAATCGTACATTGTCAATAAATGTGGTATTTTGCCCTATTTCCTAAAAAAAGATCCTGTTAAATTCTTTCAAATATAACACATGTAACACTTCTACTTTTATGAAATGCCATAGGATCTTTATTTATGAAATGACCACAAGTGATCTGAAGAGACACCATTTTTCATGTCTTGTTTAAAGATATCTTCACTCGCAAAATGTCTCTAAATACTGTCCTGAGTCAATATTGATTGGGAGAGGCACACTGCCTAATGTATCAGCATTTCCTTCAGATTCCTGATCCAATATCAACCCAATCTAATTAAGTTTAGTTTGTGAGAGCTGTTGGGGCCACCGAACATAGGTATACCAGAAAGTTTTAAAAAAAAAACATACTAAACACAACTGAATATCAAATGTTAAAGCCATTTAACTCATTGCTGAGTTTGGCTAACTTAAAAAAAAAAAAGAAAGAAAAATATGATACCATTGGTAAATCTTCAATAATAAAGACTCAAACTGAAACTAAGATAATTTCTTCCATCATTTTTCTTTAAATATCTACAGATTTTTACTATCTATGTAAGAACTTCAGCACAGGGTAAAAAGTTATCGGAAACATGTAATCTGCTTCACTGTTAAAATAAGTACCTTTTGAAATAATTAAAATGTTCAGTTCAGAGGCTTGTGGGATTATTGTTGTAGAACATCTATATCTCAAAAAAAATCTATTACCGAGGTTAGGTTCCTTTAATATTCTTATGTAACAAAATCAGGGGAACTAGGGAAAGTCACATGTCTGTACTGGATTATTGCTAATTGGAATGAACACATACCCCCACAGACAATGCCATCCATATCTTCACATTGTCGATCATCACATTCACAGGTTTTACCATGAACTCTGTTATCTCCCGGAGGGAAACAAGTGCATTGGCCACAGTCACATTTCCCTGGAAGAAAAAACAGTTGTTAGGATCACAGCATCATCAAGACATACTGGCTAAAGACCAGGAAAAAATGAACTGCTGCTACAAAGACATAAAGCACGTGTCAGACCGTGTTAGCTGAAGAGTAAACACTTGTAAAAAAAAAGTCATATTGCTGGTAATCTTTTTACTGTTTTATTAAAGAGAAGCTAGATAATTTCATGGAGGTTAGGTCCATAAAAGGCTATTAGCCAGGGGATGAAATGGTGTCCTTGGCCTCTGTCTGTCGGAGGCTGGAGAGGGATGGCAGGAGACAAATCACTTGATCATTGTCTTCGGTCCACCCTCTCTGGGGCACCTGTTGCTGGCCACTGTCGGTAGACAGGATGCTGGGCTAGATGGACCTTTGGTCTGATCCAGTATGGCCGTTCTTATGTTATGTTCTTATTATTGTCAGTATTAATGGGAATGTTATTAAGATATAGCTTCTACCTTTCCATAGCTGAAGTATGGTATATGTAATTAACTCTTCAAACTGATTTAGAAATGTTATGTATGTTATGAACACCAGATATGGATGTGATTTAAATGAAATAATCTAAAAAATAATTTACAGACTGTCCCAGGAAAGCATTGGGATACTAGAAGCATAACTGTTATAACACTGATACAAATGACAAACAGGAAGGTAAAGAATTAATGCTCCTATGACCTATCCTCTTTCTTGAATAGATGTTAGACCATGTCTGTGGATCCAGGTTTGAAGGACACAGCAGGATGAAATGCAGCCTCTGCAACATTCTTCCTGCCTCACCAATCTTTTCTATATTGGGAATCCATAAAGTTGGAAGGAATAAAGGAAACCAGGCTGGCTCCAATAGATCTCTTTCCCAAAAACCTCATGAGCACTGACTGAGGCAGAGGCTTCTAGAAATACAGTATGTGATCATGGGAATCTCATAATAGATTTGATTTGGAAATCTTGACTTGACCAGTTCTTTCCCTCTTTAAAACAAACTCATTAATCATAATTGCAACAGCAGCCTTAATCCTGACATTTCCTAAATTTTGAGTGCTTGACTTTGCAACCTTAATGTTAATCTAATGTAATATTTTGTATGCATTAGCTCTGTAAGGGTATGTCTACACTAGGAAATTATTTCAAAATAACACATTTCAAAATAATCCCCGAAATAACTATTTCAAAATAGCGTGTCCACACTACAGGGAAGCCTTGAAGTTAGTCCAAGGCAAGCTCCTTTAATGTGGTTGGGTCGTGCTACCTTGATTTAGAGCCCCAGGAAGTACTGGGGAGTAATTACTTTGAATTACTCTGAGAAGTAGTTATTTCAAAATAGCAGCAGTGGGGTATCCACACTAACTCTATTTTGAAATAAATGTTATTCCACATGGAAAGCAGGAGTTATTATTTCAAAATAACCAGTCCCTTATTTCACAGTAACAGGCTTGGTAGTGTGGATGTTCCGCTTATTATTTCAAAATAAGAGGAGTATTTTTGAAATAACTCCCTAATGTAGTCCAAGGTAGGATGCTACAGATGGATATAACTGGAATAATGAGATGCAATTGAGAATGTACTCATCAGGAAAAATGTGCTAACGGTGAAAATGATGAGTATGTGGAAGACATTTAGAATTTAATCAGAGAAAGTGTAACCCACACACTTTCTGGGTGTGCTGTACGGATGGCTTTTAATTTATGCAGTAGAGGTTCAGGTACTAAGCTCCTTTGATCCCAGGTTCGATTCTGCCTTTCGGTGTTACAAAAGCACTGGTCTGAATCTAAACTAATCCCATTTTCAAAAATGCCTTAGATACTTAGACTAAGTGACCTTGAAAAAATCATTGTTGAAATTTGGACACTACCACTTAAGTATTTCTATATTGCATTTTGGAGTCAGTGGGAGGGAACACTCCAGCTCAGGTTGACAGACTTGGGCTACTAGGGCTCACACTAGTGCTCTAAAACTAACTGTATAGATGGCATTTTGAAGTTGCAGCTCAACCTCTGAAGCCCATCCCCTTCAAGGTTAAGAACTGTATTAAATATGTATTAGGGATGTATTATCCCATTTAAAAAGTTAACCAATTAAACGGTACGTTTAAGCAGTTAACAGGGATCTTGCAGCAAGGGGCTGCTCCAGCCCGGCTGGACCCACCACCGGCTGCTCTGGCCAGGCCGGGCCAAGCCTACCACACTGTGCCATGGGCACACAGGGGCTGCTCGGGACAAGCTCGGCAGGGCTTGCCACATGACACTACAGATGGGGGCTGCTTCAGCCGGGCCAGGCCAAGCCACTGGATTACTGGTTACCCTGGTAACCATGCCGGTAAGAGAATGCTAGGGGGTAACCAGTTGAAACATGAACCTTTTGCATCCCTAATATGTATTGCTGTGGTTTTGAAATATTTTAAAGGCACATTCCAAAAAAAAAAAAAAAAAAAAGACTTTGTGGTAACAATACATACCTGCAAATGTCTTAAAAACTGCATGAGTTAATTTGTGTATCATTTACAAAGAGTTAAAGAAGCTTGTGTCATATAATGTACCTTATTTCTACCTTTCTAACTACATTGGAAACATGAGCTTAGAGCTGGCACCCTTATGATAGAGCTATGACTTGACTCAGACTTGTAGCATACATCTCAAAAAATGGGAATGATCATTGGATTGGGAATTTTGAATGCTTTCTTCCCCTGCTGAATCAAGTAACCACAAACAAATGTTACATTCGTCAGCAAATAAATAAATAAAATAATTCCTCAAGACAGCCAATTTCTGAGACAAACATACAGAAAGGAAAGAAAAATTACTAGCATGCTGAGTAGGACTAAATATCAGGTCATTACATAAAAGATGTCTCCCTGGAAAAATCAGCAGAGAGCATTTTCAAAACCCAGAGTGAGATAATACCAGACAGTACTATTTTATCAAATGCACAGAAATAACAGCAGGCATACTCTCTATGACCTTATTCTCTTACTTATTGTGATAACCATACGTGCAGTACAAACTCAATCGTTTGAGAGTAATTAAAGGCTCACATGAAACCAAAAAGAGATCAGCACTTTTCTTACATACATTCTTTGACTAGAATAATAGGTTTACCATAGCAACCCAATTATAGAGGAAAAGCTACTGCCAAATTTATCCCAAATTCTCTTTAAAATTCCAAGGCACCTAGAAACACAAACATTTGAGGACTATAATAGTAGACACCTTTTCACAAAAGAAAGCAAGCACTACGCCTTGCGAGACCGGAGAGAAAAACTGTAGTCCAGGGGCATGTCCACACTGCAGGGCAAAAATCGAATTAAGATACTCAACTTCAGCCTCAACAATTGCGTGGCTGAAGCCAAAATAGCTTAATTCAGCTTTTGATGCTGTCTACATAGCACGAAGTCGAAGGAAGAACACTCTTCCTTTGACTTCCCTTACTTCTTATGAAATGAGGGTTACCATGAGTCAGAGTAAGAAGTCCTCCATCTCAACATTATTTTGAAATAATAACTTGCTATGTAGATGCACACTGTGTTATTTTGAAATAAAATCAGGTATTCCAAAATAACACTGTAAACGTACCCCAGGGTTACATCTACACTGCAGGCTTTTAGCACAAGAACGGCCATTCTTGCACAAATACTTGTGGAGCGTCTACATTGCATGTGCATTCTCGTGCAAGTAAATTTATAGTAAAGCATCGGAAAAGAGGGCTTCTTGCGCAAGAGTTATTCCTCTCCCCATGAGGAATAAGCCCTCTTGCGCAAGAGCTCTTGCTCAAGAAGGCAATGTGGACGGGCAACAGGGGTTTCTTATGCAAGAAACCCCGATGGCTAAAATGGCCCTCCGAGCTTTCTTGCACAAGAGAGCATCTATACTGCCATGGATACTCTTGTGCAAAAGCACATTTCTTGTGCAAATGCACATGGTAGCGTGGATGTGCTCTTGCGCAAGAAACTTTTGCACAAGAACTCTTGTGCAAAACACTTCTTGTGCAAAAAGCCTTCAGTGTAGATGTAGCCCAGATGTTTGATATCATGTGATTTCCTCTGCCTCTTGTTTCCCAGAAGTTGGCAAAATGTTTGAAAGGATGAGCTATACAGTGACTACTGAACAAGTAGGCTTTGTGATACTACTAAAAACCCTAACATATTATTTATTTATGAGGAAAAAAGGTCCAAACCTAAGAATACCAGGATAATAACAGGCATATTCACCTGTCTACAGCAGAATATTTCCAAGCACTGATATGTGATCATCCTTTATGCTATTTCTATAAAAATCCTGCTTTCCTAACTCAGGCAAAACTCCCACTTCAATCAACAGTTTTACCCAAGGAAGTACTGGCTGAAAAGTAAATAAAGACTTCAAGATTTAGCCCTTTAAATTTCCTCTCACCACTTTCCATACACATTATTTCATTTTCTATTGTCCAGTGCTTGTCAAAAGAATAACTAAAGTGAGTGGTGACTAGTGTGATATTAAATCTACCCCTTCATGCAATTTGCTGTGACCATTAGCACCATGAATTTAAAGCAATTTTAGCTGCCTACAGAGGGTGATTGAACCTTCTTTTCATACCGGCAATTTTGATTTAAATGCAGTGTGCTAGAATGACATAATTTGTAGAAAAACACATTTTTTCACTTTTACTACCTACAAAAACACCACAAAGTTTCAGAACATATAGCAACCAAGGGACAAGTGAATAGTAAATAAAAGAAACTATTCTTCCTTCAGAAATACCTCATTCCCCTTTCTATTGTAGCACACATTTTCTCGGTGTGTTTTATTCTGAATTCGGGCATTCTAAACAAGAGCAAGAAATGATTTGGTTAGTTTGGCTTTATGTAGAGCATTTGAGGCCAAATTGAAACATTAGCCTCTGGCCCAAGCTGGGCTTGCAGTGGAACTATTCCAAAACCGTGGGGAGGAACAGCACCTAAAGGATAGTGGGAAATAGAAGATAGTCCCTTGGAGAGGGATCATGCCTTTAAGATGAA